AGCACAGTACCTAACCCAAGTGCCGGTTCGGAGGCTCTCCCAGGAAGGGCACCTGTACTTCCGACGGATTTGTGCCCCAAAGCTTTTTGTACAGGTCCCGCACGTCTTGGGCTGGAGCTTTTTTACCCCTGGTTCCTCCAGCCAGTCCACGTTGTTAAGGACGTGCTTGGCAAGAATGCCTGGCTCTTTTTTGTAAATATCCTGGGTACGGGCGTAGAGGGTACCGTCTGTTACCCCTCTTATTTTGTCCTCTACGCCTTCCCTTTCGTCGCCTGCAACTCCCCGCTCCTCGCTGACGAAGAGAGCGGTGACTCTATCATGTAAAGTATCTATTTGCGATTGGGGCTGCCCCATAGGCAAATCGCAAGCCTCGGAGATTGCATTTCTAAGCAGCTGGGTGACCGTGTTCACCTCCAGATGTTGCTGTGCCGCTCGAGTCAACTTGCAGCTACGGGCAGTCTGAGCAACATCCTGTCTCAAAAGTATCTCTTCTGGAGAAGCTGCTGGCGATACCAACTCATCTTCACTGACATTCAGTACCCTCTCTGACATGTCAGGCGTCTGAGTCGGACTTATGTTTTCGGCGGTGGGGGTGATATTATTAACGTTATTTTCACCCCCTGCAATGGCAGCTACTGCTGATACGTCGAGTAGCTCCGGGACTGGGATAGGGGAGCCACCCCCTACTCCCGCTTCCTCGCAGCTGTTGGTTTCGGGCGCTTCTTCTTGGGGGACGGTAGCTCTACCATCCCCTGTGTCTGTGGATACTGGTTCTGTACTGTCATCATCAGTACTAGCGCTCGCTGTGATCCCTCTTTCTGCGAGGTACCTTCACGCCGTTCTTTGTAGCATTTTTGGGCCCTTTTGTCCCGGAGTTGTTTCAAAGTTTTCTCTGGTATCAACTCCCCGCATGCGCATTGCTATACGCAACTCACCCCGGTACCGGAGTTCGCACTCCATCATTATTTGTTCCTCCTCTTCAGTAAAGATAACCAATCTTCTTTGTCGAGGAGACCGCCGTTGTACCCGCTGCCCTAGCTTCGTTTCGGGTGAGTGGGATGCCGGGTGCCGCTGGTGCTGTGTTAGTGCACCGCGGCCGGAGTACCCTTTCGCCGCAATCGGGGCAGGCCACGCCTACCGATTCGGGTATAGGCCTGTTACTTGGTACTCCGTCAGTCTCTGAGTCTGTTGACTCTGGAGGTGGGGCTGCCGCAGCAGCTCCCACCGGGCACTTGGGACGTGACACAGTGCCGCATGTTTTGCTATATACATTTTTGAGCACATCCTGCATTTGAATCTGATTTGTATATCCTTGTGATCAGATTTTACATGTTTTATTTCATCATTTAAGGTCATGTGCAGGATGTTAATGCTTCTTTTGAGGCATAGGGGGCATGACCTTTCTATATAGGGGAGCAAAATCTCAATGTCCTTGTTATCGCCATTTCCATCATCATGGGCCCCTGGTCTAGGATTTTGGGATGGTGTGGGCCCATCACCATCCCGATCTTCCGAGGCTATGTTTATTCGAGTCGTAGCCTGTGATATATGCAACTTGGCTGGCTGGGCCAAGTGCATGTCTTCCCCTAAGGGGTAAGATACAAGGTGGTCTGTATCTCGCCCTCGGTTTCCATACCGACCCCTTATGACTGTCCGCAGACAGGCCCCGACCGGGTAATCGGGGGGCTGGTTCCTAGTTAGCCGTCATCCTCGTTCAAATGCCTAACCAAAGGTAAGGCGGGTGGATGAGCGTTGCCCAGCAGTCACCGCGTGGAGGTCAGGAACCTTTGACCGCCAAGAGAGTCATAGTTACTCCCGCCGTTTACCCGCGCTTGCTTGAATTTCTTCACGTTGACATTCAGAGCACTGGGCAGAAATCACATTGAGTCAACACCCGCAGGGGCCATCTCAATGCTTTGTTTTAATTAGACAGTCGGATTCCCCCGGTCCGTGCCAGTTCTGAGCTGACCGTTGAATGGCGGCCGAAAGAGGACACCAGAACGCCCTTGCGAGCGCACTCTGGGCCTCGCAGCAAGACGGTTCCGCGGGAGTCCAAGGCACGGTACCGAGTTCGGATCCGCAATCCTACCGCACACGCGCGAACGCATACGACAGAACGTTTCACCTCGCCCAGGCCCGGCACGTCAGCCGCGACCCGCTTCCTCGCCAAGCCCGACACGCCCCGATCCTCAGAGCCAATCCTTATCCCGAAGTTACGGATCCAATTTGCCGACTTCCCTTACCTACATTATTCTATCGACTAGAGGCTCTTCACCTTGGAGACCTGCTGCGGATATGGGTACGAACCGGCGCGACACCTCCACGTGGCCCTCTCCCGAATTTTTCAAGGTCCGAGGGAAGACCAGGACACCGCTGCAACTGCGGTGCTCTTCGCATTCCAAACCATATCTCCCTGCTAGAGGATTCCATGGAACTCGAATGCTTATGCAGAAAAGAAAAACTCTTCCCTGGTCTCCCGACGGCGTCTTCGGGTCTTTTTGGGTTACCCCGACGAACTCTCTTGCGAGGGCCGACTATTGTACGGTTCCGCTGCCGGGTTTCGGAATAGGAAACCGAATTCCCTTTCGCCCGACGGGCGTGTTCTTTATATATACACACATACATACATATATTTATAAAACAACGCCACATCAACATCGGCTTTCGCCTAGGGCTTAGGATCGACTGACTCGTGTGCAACGGCTGTTCACACGAAACCCTTCTCCACGTCAGTCCTCCAGGGCCCTCGCTGGAGTATTTGCTAATACCACCAAGATCTGCACCGACGGCGGCTCCAGACGGCCTCACGGCCAGCCCTTCTGCGCGCACCGCCGCGACCCTCCTACTCGTCAGAGCTTCATGGCCGATCCGTTTTTACGCGGATCGAGACCGCACATGCCGCGACGGCCGAGTATAAGCACGACGCTTCAGCGCCATCCATTTTCAGGGCTAGTAACTTCGGCAGGTGAGTTGTTACACACTCCTTGGCGGATTCCGACTTCCATGGCCACCGTCCTGCTGTCTTAAGTTACCAACGCCTTTCATGGTATCCCATAAGCGTCGATTTAGGCGCTTTAACTCGACGTTGGTTCATCCCACAGCGCCAGTTCTGCTTACCAAAAATGGCCCACTTGGCACTCTGATTCGATTCTCGCAGCTTCATTAGTTCGAGCAAGCCGGAGATCTCACCCATTTAAAGTTTGAGAATAGGTTGAGGTCGTTCGACCCCAATGCCTCTAATCATTCGCTTTACCGGATGGAAACTCGTCACAGACGAGCGCCAGCTATCCTGAGGGAACTTCGGAGGGAACCAGCTACTAGATGGTTCGATTAGTCTTTCGCCCCTATACCCAGTTCCGACGATCGATTTGCACGTCAGAATCGCTACGGACCTCCATCAGGGTTTCCCCTGACTTCGTCCTGACCAGGCATAGTTCACCATCTTTCGGGTCCCAGCGTGTACGCTCTTGGTGCGCCTCTTCTCGTAATGAGAACGAGACGCCCCGGGAGTGCGGAGCGGCCGCTTTATAGACGTGCCGCCCATCTTCCCTAAATCCGCGCTAGGCGGATCTTTACTTTCATTGCGCCTTTAGGTTTAGTTATGTCCCAATGACTCGCGCACATGCTAGACTCCTTGGTCCGTGTTTCAAGACGGGTCCTGAAATTACCCAAAGCTATAGCGTCGCAGATCGGCGTTTCAAACGAGGTCTGTCCGAGAAATCCGCACGACCAACAGTCGTCCGGGGACGGAACCGGGCGCTAGGTCCGATCGCCGTCTTAGCATCGAACGTGCTTGTCGTGGGTCGGACGCTAATTGAAGAAGTAGCGGCCTCGCGCCATCTGTATACCGTCGAGCGAGTCGGCCGGAACATCGCGGGTTCGAGCACGAATCGCCGAAACGATCGTACACGACCTCCACCGCGAGCCGTAGACCGACACCCAACGGATCGCGACGTCCTACTAGGGGAAAAGTGCACGCGTTTCGACGCCGGATCGAAAAGCGAAAGGGCGCGGACGACGCGCGAACGCCGTCCGTCGCGCGACCGCTCATCGCCGACGGCCGAAACGCGAATGAATTTCCCCTTTCGACCTTTCGGGTTTCTCAGGTTTACCCCTGAACGGTTTCACGTACTCTTGAACTCTCTCTTCAAAGTGCTTTTCAACTTTCCCTCACGGTACTTGTTCGCTATCGGTCTCGTGGTCATATTTAGCCTTAGATGGAGTTTACCACCCACTTAGGGCTGCACTCTCAAGCAACCCGACTCTGAGGAGAGATCCTCCCGCGATCGGCAGCGGCCACTACGGGCCTGGCACCCTCTATGGGCTGTGGCCCCGTTCAAGAAGGACTTGGACTCGCCGCGCGACCTCGGGATAAACGGATCCTCCCTAACACCACATTTCCCGGCGCCCGATATCGACCGCGGGATTCGGTGCTGGGCTTTTCCCTGTTCGCTCGCAGCTACTGAGGGAATCCTAGTTAGTTTCTTTTCCTCCGCTTAGTAATATGCTTAAATTCAGCGGGTAGTCTCACCTGCTCTGAGGTCGGTTAACAAATACAACACAACACCACACACAGATATATATGTCACACGCGATCGCTAATACTAAATCGTATAGCTGCTGCTGCTATACTACTACTAGTCGAAAGCGTTCTCTAGTGTTTAGCGCGTATATGCGATCAGACGTCGTTATCTCGAAAAAAATAATTTCTCTCTCGGACACGACGATCGCAGCGCAAGTTCGAAACGCGTAACGACTACAGCATATACATATATATATATATATATATATATATATGTAGTGCTATTACGATTTTTATCCGTACAGCGCGCGTGTTCGTTCTATGTGTGAGTTTACGATTCGTTCGTATGACGAACGAATCGTCGCTTTCGCGTTTTGAGATGCCGCGACGACGACAAAGACGACGACGTTTACGATATTACATAAATAAATATATAATAACTAGCGTCGTCGCGTCGTACCGCCGCGTCTACATCCAACACGCTCCGACGTTTCATTCTCCTCTCTCATGTCGTCGTCGTCGTCGTCGTCTCTCGGATAAAGAGATAATACGACGACGCGAACAGAGATCGGAGAGGAAACCGAGCAGTCTTTTAAATTGATACGACCCTCAGCCAGGAGTGGTCCGGGAACAGTATCCGAGGACCGCAATGTGCGTTCGAAATGTCGATGTTCATGTGTCCTGCAGTTCACAAGTTGACGCGCAATTAGCTGCGTTCTTCATCGACCCACGAGCCAAGTGATTCACCGTTCAGGGTAATCGTTTTTTAATTAGACGATCTCTATATATAAAATATATATCGATACGTCTTTATTGTTATGATAATGGCTAATGTTATTAAAGAAAATATATAAAAAAAAGAAAGCGCGCATTTCTCACGGAGACTTCGTGTATTTTGCGCGGCAAACGCGCAAAATTATTTTTGCGCGTTTATAACAAACGAGCGTGCCGACGAAGTCTCTCGTGTACGCGCGCATTCTATCCGTATCGCGCTTCTATAGCATACGCGTGTGCAAGGGGTACAAATAACACTACAACAGAGTTGTACATAACATGAATATTATGTATGTATTAAGCGTACAACACGTGTCGTCCTCTTGTACCGTCTTTTCGTATGGCGTAGAAATTTCGACTAACGGGCGAATATCTTTAAAAACAACCGGAAAAGAAGGAAATGAGTCGTGCGGACACGACGACATATCTCCGTTCTTCTCCCATATAGAGTTACCCGTCGAAAATATCGCCATCCGTACAGACGACGACGTCGTAGAGACACGTGTGTACATACGCATACGCATACAACACAATATTATGTCTATGCGATATACGCGTGTCGGAACGTACCCCGAGCGCGCGCTCGCGCGTACTAGAAGCGCTCTATACGGCGTGGTGCGTTCGAAAATTATACGTATTATATGATGGTGGGACGACGAAAAGATTTTCAATAAGATTTATAAAAAAGATACGCACTCGCGTACACGACGAGACGAGGGAAGAGGTTGTGTGTTACACACAAACAACAACACCTCGTTCGGGTAATATACACGTGTGTGCGCTCGATCTTACTATAAATGTTCCTTATTATCTTTTCGAACGTCGCTACATCATCGCCTATAATAAAAAGGCAAATTCGTTCAATGAATAGTAAAGTGTATAAGAGTAAAGTATCGTGTTGAAATATATTACTCATTATACGAAAGACTTTTTTTTGTCAAAGACAAAAATTAAAGCACTGTAATGATCCTTCCGCAGGTTCACCTACGGAAACC